AAGAAAAAAAAAAACTCAGAGTGATCAACAGCTTGCCAAGATCGCCCAGCGTGCGAAGACCAGAGCAGAGACTGGACCTCTGATCATCTCGCTCCAAGGGAATACTCTATCACGCCCTTTTCCTTGGCTGTCTAAAAAGAGCCATCCAACAAATGTATGAAACTCTAAAAGCATCCACAGCCAATTACATCAATGCTTTAAGCACACCTGCTCCCTGCAAGAAATTCTCACTCTGAACAATTCAAAAGAGAAACTGTGGTCAATTGTAAGTTTAGACAAGGTCACCTGAAATCTCACAGAAATAGAAGTGCTATCTGCTCCTTAATTATTTAGTAATTATTCAGGTTAGAATGCTTCTTGAATCTTCCTAACATACTTTTTGGGTTTAGTTAAAACGGTATTTTAAGACACCTTTACAGCGTCCTACTGCGATAATTATAGTTATGTCTTTTCAAAATACTTGACAGATGTGCATGACTGTGAACAGAGGGGGGAAAAAATCAAAAACAATACTTAGTTCCAAGGAGCATCGAAAGTTAGCACTTCTCATACTTTTACTTGGAGTTCACAACTTCAGTAAATCATGTGACTCAGACATGTGACTGAGGCAGCTGCCAAAAATACCACGACAGCGCCAGCCCCACGCGTGGCGCTCCTGCTGGGAATGGACCCCAGGAGCTCCGCGCGTGGTCTACTGGGGCTGCGGCTCACGCAGAACTTAAGAGGTTAGCCCCAAAGCCAGCCAAGAAGACAGAAGAGGAGCTTCATCCAAGTTACAAACCATACTGCCTTTCATTTACTTATTTTTTAATGTTTCTATTGATTTCAGAGAGTGGAAGGAAGAGAGAGAGAGAGAAACATCAATGACGAGAGAGAATCATGGATCTGATGCCTCCTACTGGGGATCAAGCCTGCAACCCATGCATGTGCCCTGACCAGGAATAAAAGCGTAACCTCCTGGTTCATGGGTCAAGGCTTAACCACTGAGCCACACTGGTGGGGCAGAATAACCCCTTTTAAAGAGAAGCAAGGAGGCGTGGACCAGAGAGCCCTGCTGCTCCCCTCCCACCCCACTCTCCGGCCCCTGCAGAGATTTTCCTAATGAAGCTGAGCCAATGGGTTTCCTACCTGAAGTGCCCAGCTGTTTGGGCCCATGGACTGCCTAGCGAGGACATGACGGTTCTACACTGCCTGCAGGCATAGTGAGTTTAGCATGAAAACTTTACATAGCAGGGACATTGCTGTAACCTTCATTCTCACGCCCCTGCCTTTCAATTCCCGTGGACGGTTTTGTCTAGGTGTCCTCGCCGCCCGACAGAGCCTCCATGTACCTCTGTGCTGTTTCCTTGGGACTGTTATTATTTCGGTACTAAATAAGCAATCCTGGATGTGTCGTATTTCCAAACCCCTGCCCAGTGGACCAGTGAGCAATGCCTGCACAACTTCCACACTGAGAAACCTCAATCCTCACAGCTAGATCTCAAGTAACTGTTATCTTTTTCTTTGTGGAATATTCAAAGAAAAAACTGCCATTCGGTAAATACGTTTCCATCCTCCCGGCCTCCTACGGTGACACGCCCATTAGAAGGCCCCCCAGTGGCGCCCTGGGGCCCTCTCCTTTTCCCATGAGATGCCAGGACTGTGAGATTGTCCACACGGAGCCACGCTGTCCTGAGTAAGGGGAGGCCATGGATTTCTTTCTCACCTCAAATGTCAACCCAGAAGTCCCCACCCCAGCCCACTCCCTCCCGGCAGACGGACCAGCTGCTCCTCTCCCTGAGCGCCAGGCCTGCTGGCTCACCCACGTGGCCAGCCTTCAGTGCTGTTCTACTAATTTCTCACCTTTCCTGTTTCTCCACCGGACTGTAAGCTTCCAAGACAAGAGCTATCTACAGCTTGTCATGCGTATAATCCCAGATCCAGCACAGTGGCCTCGTACATTGTAAACACTCAATAAATAATGATTACATCACGGGAATGACTAACAATGATACCTGATATTTACTGAAAGCATACTTATAGGCTAGGCACCACGCTAACCAAATTATACCCATTACTTCATGGAACTCTCGAGAAAACTCTGCGGAGAGCGTGCTATTATAATTTCCATTTTCCAAGTGAGGAAAGCTAGGCTGAGAGGATGAAGTCATTTGGCAAAGTGACCTTCCACGTGGCAGCGCTGGGATCCGCATCAGGGCAGTCTGGGTTCACGGTCGGTGCTCATGACCTCAACGACCACACGGCATGAGTGAGTGACTGATGTGCAGGATCGGAGAAACATGGAAGAGTTATCCATCTAAACCCCATTCACTGGACAGGTAAACTAAGGCAGAAACTGAAGCAAAAGAAACCGCTGCTGGGCGGGGGCGCACACTACCAGCACCCGCCCCATCTCGGAATGACAGTGCACACACATGGAGTGGGGGGGGGGGGGGCGCGAGCCTCTGGAACCTTCCCCATATCACTCCTTATGGGAATAATTTGGGCTTTAAAAAATGGAGATTAACATTTATTTCTGCATATAAAGTTAGGGTGACTATCTCTCTGATGTTTAGTAGGAAATACCTATTGCTAAGATGGACCGTTTTTATTAGCAATTCCGTTTTTATTCACTGCGATGGCAGTATAATCACCTGTGACTACATATAATAAAAGCAGCATTTCCAAAAAGCCCTGGGTTCCCTGCCATCTGTAATCATTCGGTGAGAAGTAACGATCCTGCTTTAGCAAGGAGAAGCTAAGGGTGCCCAGGCAGCATTCATCACTCCTCTGATTGACAGCCCGGGGCACTGGGTGCTTTTCCACAACAGCCTCTCAGTGTGTAACTATGACTGTGGGGCCCACTCCGGGCACTATGTGCCACCACGCCAGCCCTCACTAAACCACAGCACTGTCAGGCCTCACATTCTCAACAGCATGCACCAGGCAATGGGCCTCGGAAAGATGCAGGGTTCAGACGAAACCAGGCTGAAGGCCTTGGGGACTTCTGCCAACCGCCCCCAAGTTCCCGACGCCAAGGCCAGCGCGTGACCACCCACAGGTCCTCCGGAGCCAGCTCCACCTGGCGCCCATCGGTGTCTGTGGTCTAGAACATTCTCTGCACCAGACACACACGTGCATGCTGTCCTTCCCTCTGGGCGGCGTGCACTCCCAGCTCCTGTCCTGCCCGAACGCCTTCCGCCAGGCTCTGGACCCGCAGCCACTGCAGCGGCAGTGACAGAGGCTGCTCAGCGAGCATCGTCTCCGCCCTGGTGGGAAAACTCAATGCGGTTCTGTTTTCCTTCACATAGAGCTTCATCGTCTGCTGGAACATAATGCCATCGGCTAATATTGATTTCCATATCTTCCATAGCACATGTAAAACCAAAGGCTGTAAAAGGTTTCATTTCTAATGATCCAGTGGATTGTCTTCTGCTAACACCAGGAAGAGGTTTTGAATAAACTGCTGTGTTGGATAGTCTATGAGATAGCCGCTGGGCCTGAAGGACCCTCACGTAGCCAGTCCCCTAGGAGAGGAGCCGCTGACGCTCTGCCTGAGCCCTGGCCTGTCCACACCTGTGAGGGGCGGTCCTTCCCACAAGAGGGTGCCTGTGTCTCCCCAGCCAGGAGGGCCGTGAGAAGGAATTTATAAAGGGGGTCACGTTATCCTGGCAGGTGCCCCTCCACAGCAGGCTGCCCTGGCCGTCCCATGTCTGTGGACCATTCAGCTCAGCCCTCTCCGCTCCCAAACGTGTCCTCTTTGGGGCACTATATTACGGGGTTCCCCTGCAAAGCGATCCGCTGTCTTCACTGAGGTCGCCAAGGACACAGGAGCCCAGGTGCCAGGGCCCACAGAGAGGGTTTCACCAGGTGAGAGGGCAGGGCCTGGCTTCCTGTCTGACAGCTGGCACACCGGAGAGGCAGAAATGCAGGCTGCCCAGCCGCAAGGACCAACACTTCCGAAATGCCATGGCGAGCCTCTCACATCGAGGGTGCCCGTGGGACTGTGTCTGTTTTCCTACCACAGTGCTCTCCACATGGGTCACAACAGATTTATAAGAAAAGAGCAGACAGCTATGAAAATTATTCTGAACTAACGCATCCATATAAATATCTCTTTCATTGGCACGCGCGTGTGTGTGTCTTTCTCCAATCTTTATTCTGGCTGACGTTTGGAAATGGAATGTATCGGGACACAGTGGTTATTGCTGTCCAGGCTGTAGATCAGCACACACAGTGGGCTCTGCTCCCAAGCCCCCGACGACCCCTCTAGTGAGGCTCCTTCACCTGCAAGGTCACCTACACAGACGCTTTGGGACCCGACTGTTTGAAGACAGGATCACAACGCTTTCTGCATATGGTTTCCGAGCATTTGGATGCCCACACTGTGACACTGAGTGCACCTGGCTACACTTTATTTAAAGGAACAACCAAATGCGATGTCATACCACACCCACCTCCTTGTTGATCTCAACCGTTGTCCTTCTAGTGAGCAGCAGGCAGGATAAATACAACCTTACTACACATGGTCACCACACCTGATGGCGAGCTGTTTGCTAAAGCTCCTATTCTGAGTGATTCAGAACTTGTTTCCTATCTTCTCCCGTGTCCTCCTATCTCCACTGTAACAAAAGTTCCCCCTTAGTCTCTGTGTTTGCTTCTAAAATAATAAAATGTCCTTAAATGTTTCTAAAAGGAACCTTGACATCATCATCTATAACAACCATGAAGAATTTAATGTCTTAACAACAATGACCTCATGATCATTTTAGAAAACATGGTTAATGTTAGTTTCATGGCTGTGTACTTCTCCCATGCCTCCCGGTTAAAGGGTTGTAATATGACCAGTACGTTTGTGTCTGTCTTATATCCAGAAATGGTTGAATGGGCCATACATCTGGAATGTCTCCAAAGCTTTGGTCCTCTTCGACATATAATGTGGTTTCACACTCCACAAACATGTAGCTATTTAAGTTAAAATATTATAACTTGAACTCAGACCAATAGTCTTAAGTACTTACTTTATAATATCTCCTTCCAGGGCAATCACTCTCTTGATGATCTTCTGTCCTGGGTTTTTAGGGGACCTAGAATAAGATAAGGTTACAATCAGTTATGGCTCTGTTGTTTTAAGAACACAAAAAGACATTCAACCATACATGAGCTACATTAAAGGAATTACAGAATCCTGAACCATGAATCCATGACCTTGATCCTACTTAGGCCCCAAGTGAGTCTAAGTGATTCTCTGGAGGGGAAGTCATGCTGAAATTTCACCAAAATTAAATGAAAAGAGGGATAAAGCATTTCATTACGAAAGCTAAGCTCCTGAAGGAAAGGAGACTCATGCATAAAAAAAATATATGATCAGACATTTCTGTATTTAAATTTCTTCATTCCGTTTAAAATTAACAGAGGAGTTTGATTTAAATCCTCAAGAAAACATGGAGGATGGGAGGTATTTTTTGAGAAAAGTAAGGAATTAGGAAATTCTCTTAAACTATATTTAGGTTGAGGCACTTAAAGATTATGTCATTCAGAGTGCTAAAACAAGGCTACTGACAGTTCAAAGAAATGGCTAGGTTCTGATACACTTAACACAGACATCATTTATTTAAGCTGTGACCAATAGCTTATGGTAAATAATTACTTGAAGTAACAGCCTTTATCGAAATGAAAACCCCTCCTTTTCTCCCTGCCTGCTTCCCTCTCTCCCCTCCCCTCACTCTATCTATGGTAGCTCTCATTCTGGGGGAAGCTGTGCCCAGCAGCCCTTCCCAAGGGCATAAGTGAGGTCTGCTGACCATCCCTCAACCCCAGTCAAGTTCTTAGGGTGCAGCTCTGGCTACAGCCTCACTGCCACCTGATGAGGGACCCTGAGTCCCCGTTCAACTGAGTCTGGCCTTCTCACCTCCCAGGGAGGGGCGAGGCCTGAACTAATGACTGCGTTCTCCCACTCAATGTTGGCGCAATATTGATGTTCCTGAGAAAATGTGTGAGCCCCTCAGCGTGGCTCAGTGGTTGAGTGTCGACCTATGAACCAGGAGGTTAGGGTTTGATTCCCGGTCCGGACACATGCCTGGGGTTGCAGGCTTGGTCCCTAGTTGGGAGCTTACAGGAGGCAGCCAATCAATGGTTCTCTTTCATCATTGATGTTTCTATCTTGCTCTCTTTCCCTCTCCCCTCCTCTCTGAAATCAATAAGAATATATTTAAAAGTATATATACTGTGTAAGATAAGGTTTGTTTTAAGCTGCTAGAAGTTGGTGGGATCATTTGTTACATTGCAATGGGTAACTCAATCTTAATACGTCCCATTTCCTACCAATAAGATTTAAAGCTTCTTGACTGGATGGACCTGTTTCATGTAAATGATCATGTAATATGCATTTGAAAATCAGGCATAGATAAAAATGTTTTCAGCCCAGCCAGTGTGGCTCCATGGTGGAGCATCTGCCCATGAACCAAGAGGTTGCCAGTGGCTGATCCCTGGTCAGGGCACATGCATGGGTTTCAGGCTTGATCCCCACTGTGGGACGGTGGAGGAGGCAGCTCATCAATGTTTCTGTCTCTCTGTCCCTCTCCCTTCAGGACACTAAAAAAAAAAAAAAAAAAAATTAATAAAAGCATATTTTTAAAAGTAAACTAGTGTGGCTCAATGGATAGAGCATCAGCCTGTAGACGGAAGGGTCTCGGGTTCGATTCCCAGTCAAGGGCATGTACCTTGGTGGCGGGCACATCCCCAGTGGGAGACATGCAGGAGGCAGCTGATAGATGTTTCTCTCTCATCGATGTTTCTGACTCTCTATCCCTCTCCCTTCCTCTCTGTAAATCAATAAAATATATTTAATAAATAAATAAATAAATAAATAAAATAAAAATATTTTCAGTTCAAGTGTCATTTGAATTGAATTAAATATTTTTTAAAAGGGTAAATGCACAAAAACTAAAACGATTAAATATATTCAAACTATAATACGTCCTCAAAGGAAACAAGAAGTGTCAATAAGAGTAATGCTTTACATTATATCTTTGGGAGAAAATGAAGTCCCCTCAACCATTTGCATCGACTCGTGACGATTAGTCTTACAATTTTTCACTACATTTATTTTTTACTTTAAAATCAAATTTGATCAGAGTGTTGGACTGAATTATACTCCTCACTAAATTGACTACACATCATATTCCTATACATTTAATGTCATTTATTACAGTTAGAGTGAGGGCACATCGGATGATAGAATTCATGTTCTCTGAATTGGGCTATTTTTAGAAAGTTCCCCTCCTATGTGTCTCTGTAGAAAACCAGAAACCAGACATTCAACCTCAGTGATCACCAAAGAATTCATATGAAAACAATGAAGTGCCATTTTCCTATTATATTGACAAAGAAATAATAACAATAATAATAATAAGTTTGTTGTTGAGGGTTTAGAGATGTGGCTAATATGAAGTGTGTGGTGCCTAAATGCCTTTTTGTAAAAATGTCAAGATTTTATATTCTTTTTAACATAACAATTACACTTTTTGGGATTTATCCAAATGAAATGTTTATGAGCTTATACATAATTTCACCTACTTGGATGTCATCTGTTCTAAAATAAATAAATAAATAAATAATAATTCAACAAGAATAGCTTGGTTAACTAAATTATAGTCCATCCACATAAAATTTCCAAGTCATTAAAAATGATGTTATAAAAATGTTCATGATGTGGAAAAATCAACTGTAGATCGAAAATGCAAGTGAGATTATATTGATGTGTACCACAACTTCACCTCTGTCATTAGAGAGAATGTAAGTGCAGTTGCATTGGGAAAAATCAGGAAGGTTCTAGAACAAAAGGAAGGGGGTGCTAAAAGGGGGCTGCCTGAGTTTGGGTTCAGTCCTGCCTGGGGAGCCCCTTAATGGGTGACAACTGTTGGTGTCATGTGACATTACCTGAGAAGGAACCTTCCAGGGAGGGTCAAGACCTGAACTAATGACCGAGTTCCCCACCCAATGTTGTCGCGATATTGATGTTCATAAAACCACAGGAAAAGCAAGCCTTATCGGCATAAAAGAATATTCTATGCCAACAGTCTTTAAGCTTTAGAGACTTGAAAACTAGTTTAGATTTCTAAATTATTCTATATTTTAAGATCGTGAAGAAACAAAATAGAATATGCAAAGCGAGCTATCTGTATAATTAAAGTCTTAGGAATTACTACTTAGATATATCTATAAATTTTAATGTAATATTAAACTCGGATCTAATCAAATGATTCAAAATGAAAAGACGCTATTACTAACATTAATCCCATTACTGCTCAAAAGTCGGTGTTTTCATCTTTAGGCTGCGGGATGCGGCGCTCTGAAATCCATCCGTACCAGTGACTGGGAAATCGTTGCAGGTTTACACTGGGAAAGTCCTGGCCACTTGCAGATCTCCCAGGATATGAAGAATAGCAAGTGAGGGATTTCACCTTACTACAGGGACATAGCGCATCCCTGCCCCGTAATACCAACATTTACATTTCCATTTGTCATTTTAGTGTTTCCGGAGTGAGCACTGTTTCACGGTATTTATTTCTGGAGCCTGGGTTTTAATTGTTCTGTTTCCTGCTGATGATTTAATTAGGCGCCAACTCCAGGAGGCTTGGACAGAGGCCTGGGGTGGTCTCCGCACGGCAGGACTCAGTTGATCTGTCAGAATTTGTCTCTAACGAGCGTGGTTGTGGGGAGGGAACAGTCCAGCACAGGTGTAAGATTTATGACACTTAATGTTCATTTTAGAAAATATATTTTTATTGAGTTCAGAGAGAAAGGTAGAGGAAGAGAGATAGAAACATCAAAAGTGAGAATCATTGACCAGCTGCTTCCTGCACGCCTCCTATGGGGGACCAAGCCCGAAACCCAGGCACGTGTCCTGACCTGGAATTGAACTGTCACCTCCTGTTTCATAGGTAGACTCTCAACCGCTGAGCCACACCAACCTGGCAGTATTCTCCTTAAATTTCACTCCCTTCCTTGATGGAAATGTTGCCATTTTCACCCTGTGACAGGCCCACTAGTCATGTCTTTGATCTCAATGATCGCTCTAGGTGAAATCCCACACGGAAACCACCATCATTTCTCTAAAGTGCCACCTCTCCAGCGAACATTGACAACGGACGTTAGAAGTGCAATACGGCTCGTTCTGCTCTAACCCATTGTGCTGATTAGATTGGAAAGCTCAGAACCTGTGTTTTGTGGGAGAGTTCTTCGGCCCAACAACTACACACAATTGGCTCCTTGAAAATGTCAACCTGATGTCCCCAATAGTTGACCGAATAGTCTTCGAACGTTCTCTTCAGAAAAACAAAACAAAACTTGAGGCTGGGTGTGCCGAGCCAGCACGGCCCAGGGTGACCCTGAGTGGGGGCGGCTGAAAGGCTTAGAGAAGACGGACAAGAGAATGAAAGCTGGGTCCCGGAGGGATGCTGCTTCTCTGAGAGAGCGCCATGGACTACAAGCCATGTCTTTATTTTACAGCAGATGCCCTGAGGCAAAGGAAGGGCGTGGTCAAGATGTTTACAACATTCTCATGGGTTTCAATCCCTCTCAACTGCATGCACCTGATCAAGCTTTGTTTACTTGCAACCTCTATCACTCAGGCACGTGGGGCCACGTGTTTGGACCATAGGTTCAAGCTTCCATCTACAGCTGAGGGCTATCATTGTGCAGGGAGGCTCTGCCCGCCAAGCTGGGACTTGCACGTAGCCATGAGAGGACTGTGCCCTCTCCTCAGTCCGGAGGCTTGAACCTGTCCAAACGCTGTGGCCGTTCCCCACAGCTGGGGATTTGCAATCCACCTGCCACGGCTCCCCTCTGAGAATGGCGTCTCACCCACTCAGCTTGAGTGCTACGTCCATAGCAGCTGCTAAGTCATGGAAACCTTCCCCACGCTTTCCATCCTCTGCAGTTCATACTGAAGCACATGCTGTCATGATCATTGATCAACACTTCCAACTAAAAACACGAAGAAGAAATGACATGTCTGACTCCTGTTCTTCAAGGTACCATTTATCTCTAAGTCTCCCCGCAGGCCCTTCCTCCCCATGGCATC